ATAATACTTAGCCCTGCCATGAGTACCGGGGACTGGACTAGGTGACCTCTCAAGGTCCCTTCCAGTCTTACCCTTCTATGATTCTAACTGCAGGGTCCAAAATTTTGGTTAAACTGCTTGGGTCAGAAATGGTTAAAAATACTCAGGGTGATCTGGGTATATGGAGGGAACTGGAGAGTAATTTATGCCTGAATAGTGGTCGAACCAGTGTCTGCAGGGAAAGACCTCTCCCCACCTCTTCTGAAAGGCACCAGGCCTCTAAGCAATAATCACATGCATGTCATTTTGAGGACATTTCCTCTCTGCCCGCACAGCGGCTGCCAACACCCACCATGCCCCACTGCCTGCCGAGAGGGTAAAAGAAAAGGGGCTGAAAAGTCTGGGTCCATGTCCTCAAATCAGCAGCAGTTCCAATGGACCTCCTGCTCATTGACACCAGCTGAGGATCTGGCCCCATTGACTCCAATGGAGAGACGCCCTTTGACACTGGCTGGGATCTGGCTCCTCTGTAGGTGTTTCGCAGGTAGTGGAGGACACACATCCCTAATCCAATACTGAAGGATTCAGAGTGCGGGCTCCTCTCCCAAAAGACCACCCCCCCCCCATCCAGGGTCCTTCCTCCACCAGCCCTGCTCTCACCATGTCCCGATCCTCATTACGCAGCACCCAGAGGACGGAGAGGATCAGGCTGGTGGTGTTCATCTCGGGGATGGTGTCCAGGAACTGCTTCAGGGTCACCTTGGCCTTGTTCCGGGGCGGTGGCTTCCGCATGGACGACGGGTAATTGGGCATGAAGGCTGCCAGCTCGAACTGGGGCCGGGAAAGGGAAGCCAGAGGTTAGATCCCACCCGGGAGCTTGGCTGGCAAGGTCATGAGAGGACCCAGGAGTCCAGAGCAGGAGCCGCAGGACCAGCTGCCCCAGGGGTCCACGGCCCCTGCCCATCACCCAGCCCAACCCAGGCCTCATTCAGTCAGCCGCAGAGGCAGTGTGGATATGTGGCTGGGACTCTGACCTGCGTTCCAGTCCTAGCGACTCCATGATCTCCCTCTGTGCCACCGGGCAAGGCACCAAATCACTCCGTGCCTCAATTTCCCCATCTGTACAAGGAAGGTGATCAGTCTTCCCGTTGTCGGTTTTGTCTACTTAGAGGGTGAGCTCTTTGGGTCAGGGACCATCTCTCACTATGTGACTGGGAAGTGCCCGGCACAAGCGGGGACCTGATCTCGGTCAGGGGGGTCTGGGCAGTGCCTGGCACAAAGGGGGATCCTGATCTCAGCTGGGGTCTATGCAGCGCCCGGCAGGACTGGGCCCCAATCTCTGCCACAGATTTTCATTTTGATTCATTTTGTTGAAAAATGGAAAAATTAAAAAGGAAATGTTCTAAAAAAAATTGTCAGAGGAAAGGGAAGGAACTTGATGGAAGATGCTTGATAAAGCCAGGAAAAGAACCCAGGAGTCCTGGCTCCCTCCCTGCTCTAACCACTAGACACCACTCCCCTCCCAGAGCTGGGGAGAGAACTCAGGAGTCCTGACTCCCAGCAACTCTGTCTGGGCTAGACTGGACTTTAAGCCACAGTAACTCCTGGGCGTGAGCCACCACGTCCAGGATCCAGCTCAGACCCCAGAGTATGGGGCGTACCCAGTGGGGCCCAAAGGGCAGGAGGGGACAGGCTGGGGCCCAAGGGAGGAGACACTGGTGTAAGGAGAGGAAAGGGGGGAAGGAAAGAGACACCCGTCCAAGAGGGGGACAGGGTGGGAGGCCCTCACCCACCTGCCCGGCGTTGACGGCAGCGTGATAGGCAGAGCAGGTGAAGATCACCATGGTCAGGTACTTGGTCAGCTCGGCCATGGTGCCCAGAGCCGAGGGGATGCCTGCCAGAGAGGGATGGACTGGTGAGCATGGGACAGAGCCCCCTCTCCCCCTGTCCCTGGCTGGGAATGTCCCCTCTCCCCTCCCCCTGCCAGCGGTGATGCTGGGTCAGTGCAATACCAGCATCACTAATTTCTGTGCATGTGTAACACCGACAGACCCTGGTCCTGGGCGGGCGGGATCGAACCGGGGGCCTCCAGAGCGTAGCACATGAGTCTCTACCGCATGAGCTAAAAGCCACGTGGAGGCATTTGGGTGACATACGGCAGGCGTCACGCAGTGGCCATGGCTGACGTTTTCACGAGTGCCTTGGGTTTTGGAGACACCTTAATGGGGGCTGATTCTTGGGGGGTGGAGGGAGGACTCCTCAGCGATGTCTGTGACCCCGGGCTAGCCACCTCTGGGTTCTCACCCGATGCCTGTCGGCCAAGGAATCCCTTGGCGAATATCTCGCCCACCCACGCCTGCAGCTCGTGGTCACTCTGCACCGAGAGGCTGGTCTGGTAGTAGATTGTCACAATGCCGGAGACAAAGCTGAGAGAGTTAAAGGGGAATCGGGTCAGCCAGGACGCCGGGGTCCATGGTGATATGCTCTCCCCCCTAGGACAAGCTAGGGGAGCCCCCTCCCTCCAGTCTATACAGTGCTAGGCCTGCTACCCTTCAGCATCACTTCTTAGGTGGTCCAGATTCCCCTCCATCCCCCATGCCTGGTCACCAGCCACCTAGGAGATTTGGTTTTAGAATCATAGAATATCAGGGTTGGAAGTGACCTCAGGAGGTATCTAGCCCAACTTCCTGCTCAAAGCAGGACCAACCACAACTAAATCATCCCAGCCAGGGCTCTGTCAAGCCTGACCTTAAAAACCTCTAAGGATGGAGCTTCCAGCACCTCCCTAGGGAACCCATTCCAGTGCTTCACCACCCTCCTAGTGAAATAGTGTTTCCTAATATCCAACCTACACCTCCCCCACTGCAACTTGAGACCATTTCTCCTTGTTCTGTCATCTGCTACCACTGAGAACAGTCTAGATCCATCCTCTTTGGAACCTCCTTCAGGTAGTTGAAAGCAGCTATCAAATCCCCCCTCACTCTTCTCTTCTGCAGACTAAACAATCCCAGTTCCCTCAGCCTCGCCTCATAAGTCATGTGCTCCAGCCCCCTAATCATTTTTTTTGCCCTCTGCTGGACTCTCTCCAATTTTTCCACAACTTTCTTGTAGTGTGGGGCTCAAAACTGGACATAGTACTCCAGATGAGTCCTCACCAATGTCGAATAGAGGGGAATGATCATGTCCCTCGATCTGCTGGCAATGCCCCTACTTATACAGCCCCAAATGCCGTTAACCTTCTTGGCAACACGAGCACATTGTTGACTCATATCCAGCTTCTCGTCCACTGTGACCCCTAGGTCCTTTTCTGCAGAACTGCTGCCTAGCCATCAGGGCCGGTTCCAGGGTTTTTGCTGCCCCAAGCAGCAAAAAGAAGAAAGACCAAAAAAAAAGCCGCGATCATGATCTGCGGCATTTCTGCGGCAGCTCTACCGCCGCCCCTTCAGTCTTCGGCGGCAATTCAGCGGCTGGTCCTTCGCTGGGCTGGTGCCTGGAGCCGGCCCTGTTAGCCATTCGTTCCCTAGTCTGTAGCAGTGCATGGGATTCTTCCTTCCTAAGTGCAGGAGATTGGGGCCAAATGTTTCCAAGCCCCTATGTGGTTTAGGAGCCTGCCTGCCATTCTCAAAAGGGACTTAGGTGCATTATGGGTTAAATTTACAATGGCAGCTGGGTGCCCAGAGCAATTTACAAAATGCCCGAGCGGGTTCGGTTCCTAAATCCCATTGACGTCAGCATTTAGGTTCCTATGTCGAGCGGGATGAAATGTTTGCACGTAGTGACCGGAACAGGGGAAGCCAGGGGGACCACAACCCCATCGCTTTTTACCGGCCTTAAGGGGAAGCGATGGGGGGAGGGGGCAGAGAGGAGCAAGCAGGAGCAGAGCCTCGGGGAAGAGGCGGAGTGAGGGCGGAGCCTCGGGGGGAAGGGATTGAGTGGGGGCGGGGCCACGGCACAAGCTCCGGTGGCCCCCCTACTTCTAGGGAGTTTCCGGCACTACTGGTTTGGGCTGAAACTTTTGGGGGGTACAAAATGGAGTCGCGGTGACCCTGAACGAGTTCACAAATGAATTTGGTTTTGCCAAATTTTGTGCTGAAAAACAAACCATCCAAAAAATTGGAAACCTCCCCGAAATTTTTCATTTTTTGTTGTTCAAAAAGTCCTGAAAATGAATTTTAAAAAAAAAGTCAAAAATGTGTCAAAATCCTCCAAATGGAAACAAACCAGGTCAATTGACACAAAACAAAGTGTTTCGTTTCACCTGAAAGGAATTTTATTTTTTGGGTGTGATTTCTCAAGGGGCTGAAATTTTTGAAAATTGACAGTTTTGGGGCCACCCTAAAACTGTTTTATTTTATTTTATTTATTTATTTATACTTTTCAAGATTGCCAAGCCAACAAAAAAACCCTTACTCCTTTGACCGTGTGGGCACTTTGGAAAACGTTGCCCTCTAAATGGAGATTCAGGTTAAGCACAGAAGTGAATTTAAAATTCATTGAACGTACAGTTTTTTAAGGCCCAGCTTGACAAAGCCCTGGCTGGGATGATTTAGTTGGGGTGGGTCCTGTTTTGAGCAGGGGGTTGGACTAGATACCTCCTGAGGTCCCTTCCAACCCTGATCTTCTATGATTCTATGAACCGGCAGCAGATCCTGGGGCTGATGGTCTCATTTTGACTGTTCTTCGACTGGGCTTGCGTCGAAGTGGTTTCCGTGAAAATGAATTAAGAGCGTCCACATGGGAGAGGGGTTGTCACTAAACTGGATTGAAATCTGATTTCGGTTATCAAGGGGTCCAACTTTGTGTGGGAAAGGATGTTTGCTGGATCCCAGCAGAACAAACCCAGTATGCAGGGCTCCCTCCCATACAAGACCTGGATTCCCAGGGGGCTCTGCCCTGACCCCCTCCACACTCAGAGCCCCACCGCTTTTCCCCCTGTGATTTCACTAGGTCTAACCCCTTCCGCTGCACTTGCCTTCATCTCTCCTCCCTACACAACACCCCACCTGGCCCAGCACCCTCCTCACCTCTCTATAGCTGCCCAGATCTTGAGCCCATCGTCCTTGTAGTAGTAGTTCTGGAGCGAGGCGACACCGCGTTCCTGGATGTCATCGGGAAAGCAGAGCGTGGTGTAGGTTAGGTTTTCCAGGGCCTTGCGGAGCAGCTCGGCGAGGCCTCGACGCCCAGTTGCTATGGCCTGTGGAATATAGACCCGGCCCGGGCCCACTGGGGGTTACTGCCACGGAGCTGCAGGTGCCAGGGGAGAGGGTAGGACACTGGAATTGCGTTAATTCCCCAGGTCTGGGACAATGCTGGGAATCAAACTTACGAAATCCTTTGGCAACTCAATTCATTTTCCCTCCAAAAAAATGTTCACTGATGAAAGTAAAAGGAAATGGGGAAGCGGGGGACAAAAGGAGAGAAGAAGGAAAAACGGGAGGAAAGACGGAAAAACTAAGAAAGATGAATAATGGGGAAAAACAAGAAAAAAACAAAAACAAGAAAAAGAAGTGAAAAAATAAGAAAAAAAAGGAAAAGAGGAGAGAAAAACAAGCCAAAGGAAACAAGGAAGAGAAAATGACTATTATGAAGGAAAATGCCATAAAAATGTCATGAACTTTTTTTTGGAAAACCGACCATTTTAAGTGCAAATCTTTTATTTTTACCTACTGGCCATTTTTCGGTGAAAAACATGTTCCCTCGACCTGCCTCGCCCTGATTAGAAGGCAGGAAATTGGGTTGCGGGCCACGCCCACAAATGGGCTAACTGGGCTCGCGTTGAAGTGGTTTCAGTGAAAGTGAATTAAGAGCGTCCACATGGGAGGGTTGTCACTAAACCGGATTGAAATCTGATTTCAGTTATCAACGAGCCTGACTTTGTGTGGAAAAAGATGTTCACTGGATCCCAGTTGCGAGGTGGCCAATGAGCACCGACCTCCAGGAGGAGCTGCTTCTGCCTTGCGCTTGATTGGTTGAGCAGGCTGGAGGCGGAGCTGGGTGGGTGGGGTTTGGGAGGGGCAGTCACAGCAGGCCGTCAGCAGTTTGCTGCTGTAGTTGATTTGATGGGCAGTTTGCTCATTCTCCCTCTTTTTTGAACACACCGGAGGAGGCTATGGGAGGCAGTGTGGCCTAGGGGCTAGCACCCGGGGCTCGAATCCAGCTCTCCCGGGTTCTACCAAAGGCTTGGTAAGTGACCATAGGCAAATGAGTCCCTGCCTCAGTTTCCCCATCTGTAAAATGAGGCTAATGCTCCTGATGTCCTTTGTAAAGTGCTTTGAGATCTAGGGGTGAAAAGCACCAGCTTCAAGCAAGGGATTATATTGTTATTAAGAGACAATCCCCTCTTTACCCGATCGAATACGCCCCCGGGGCTGATGAGAAAGGTCCGGGCCAGGACATCAATGTGGATGGAGAACCGGATGTGAGGGATCAGGAGCTGGAAGAGAAGAGGCACAGGGCCTGAAGCAGCTGGGGAGGAGGTGCCAGCCCCCCACCGCCACGGTCCCTCCTGAGTGGAGAAGAGACGTTGCAGAGGCAAATGGCTTTGTTCTCTGATCCACCCTGATTGCAGAGCACTAGGGCGGAGTGTTTGGTGCAGGAGGCAGCAGAGAACTGAGCAAAGAGCTGGGGTCAGCACACAAACAGCTGGGCACCTCTGGAATTTGCACCCACACAGTGCACAGCCGGGCATCTCAGGAACACATGCCCCAGCTGGCCACCTCTGGAGCACATACAGGTACGCAGCTGGACACACCTCCAGCACAAACATTCATACACTGCTGGGCATGTCTGCAACATACACACACATAGACAACCGAGCATGTCTGCAACACACACACGCACACAGCCGCACATGTCTGCAACACACACGGGTACACAGCTGGACATGTCTGCAACACACATACAAGTACACGGCCGGGAATGTCTGCACCACAAACACAAGTACATGGCCAGACAAGTCTGCACTACACACACATGTACACGGCCAGATATGTCTGCACCACATACACACGTACACAGCCGGACATGTCTGCAGCACACACCCGTACATGGCTGGGCATGTCTCCATCATACACACATGTACATGGCCAGACATGTCTTCACCACACACACACGTACGCAGCCAGACATATCTGCAACACACAAACACACACAGCGGGGCACTTCTAGAACACACATACGGTGATACGGGTGACTCCCGTGTACACCTCCGGGGATACACGCCGGGCTGGGCCCCTCTCAAACTCGCATGTCCGGGGACAAACATTCCATTGGGCCTGTCTGAGCATCACAAAGGCACACACTGGGCACCTCTGGGGGGAATGTGACCAGGCGGGCACATCTGGGGCATACACTGGGCAAAGTGTGCACACACACAGGGCACAGCAAGAACTGGGTGCCCTTGGTCAACTCCCTTAACATGTCCCCCCACCTGCAGAAGTGGGTAGCCAGGAATGGGACTCGCCCCACCCCTTGATGCCATCTGTTTTCTCTGTGCATAAGGTGCCAGGTGTGGACACTGGATGCCCGTCGCTGTCCCATTGGCTGACGCACCAAGCAGAGTGGGGCCCCGCCCACCTGTGGCCCCGCCCACTCACAGCAGCTCCGCCCCCCTCACCTTGTACAGGGGGTGGCACATGGGCAGCTGGCGCTGGGTGGCCACGGCAAAGACCTCGGCCAGCAGGTGGGCGCGGAGCAGGTGGGAGGTGACCTCGTGCAGGTGGAACTCGGAGTTGCGCACCCAGGTCTTGGCCAGAGTCCAGAGCCACTCGGAATCACTGGGCAGGAAGATGGGGCTCTCGGGACCTGGGTGCTGGCTGAGCTGTGGGGGAGCTGGGTCAGAGCAATGGGTCTGGTATCCCCCCTGGGTCAGAGCAATGGGCCAATCCAGCCTGGTATCCCCCCCAGGTCAGAGCAATGGGCCCATCCAGCCTGGTATTCCCCCCCCCCAACTGTGCAATGGGCCAATCCAGCCTGGTATCCCCCCTGGATTGGAGCAATGGGCCCATCCAGCCCCTATCCCCCCTGGACAGGCGCAGTGGGCCCATCCAGCCCCTATCCCCCCTGGATCAGAGAAATGGGCCCATCCAGCACCTATCCCCCCTGGATCAGAGAAATGGGCCCATCCAGCCCAGTATCCCCCCCCCGGTCCCAGGCAAGAGCAATGGGCCCATCCAGCCCAGTTTCTCTGCCCCCCGCCCTCCAGGTGACAGCAATGGGCCCATCCAGCCCAGTATCCCCCTGACCCCAGATCAGAGCAATGGGCCCATCCAGCCTGGTATCCCCCCTGGATGGGAGCAATGGGCCCATCCAGCCCCTATCCCCCCTGGATGGGTGCAATGGGCCCATCCAGCCCCTATCCCCCCTGGATGGGTGCAATGGGCCCATCCAGCCCCTATCCCCCCTGAATCGGAGAAATGGGCCCATCCAGCCCCTATCCCCCCTGGATGAGCAATGGGCCCATCCAGCCTGGTATCCCCCCTGGATGGGAGCAATGGGCCCATCCAGCCCCATATCCCCCAATGGACCCATTCACCCCTGTATCCCCGCTGGATCAGAGCTGCGGGTCCACTGGCACACTCGGGCCCTGCCCACAATAATAATTGTGCCTTTAGCAATGGTGGAGCCGAGTTGCTCCCTAGCAGCAGGGGGGCCCAGGTGGCTCAGGAGGGGCTCTGATAACCCCCCGCTTGGGCACCGGTGAGCAGAGAAACCCCTCACCTGGATGGCCAAGGGGACGACCTCCCCGCTGGGTTTCTGGTGCAGCAGGCACAGGGGTGCGGCGATGTACTGCTGGTGCCCGTTCACTTTAGTGGTGGGAATGTCTTCCAGGAGCTTGTAATCTGCGATATAGATGCTCCCTCTCTGTCATGCAGAGCAGAGGAGGGTCAGTGCCCCGCTCCCAGGGCTGCGAGCTTCCTTCAGCAGTGTCCCAGCAAGCAACACACATAGCACTGCGCAGGGATCACTTACCCAGTGTTAAAATGCAGCCACCTCCGGGTGGAGTAGCTGGTTATACAGGGATCCCTCGCCCGGCGCTGAGATGCAGCCACCTCTGGGGCTGGGCAGCTGCTTATACAGGGATCCCTCGCCCGGCGCTGAGATGAGACCACCTCTGGGGTGGGGCGGCTGATTACTCAGGGACCCCTCACCCGGCGCTGAGATGCAGCCACCTCTGGGGCGGGGCGGCTGTTTACCCAGACCCAGCTATGCTACAAACAGTTTAGTTTGGGAACAGAGCACTGTGCTCCCACCAGCAGGAGTTCACGGAGAAGGAGGGCAGCATGGACTCAGCACGGCTGGGAATCAGCCAGGCCCTGATTATTTTGGGGAGACAGGGTGTTACCTGTAGCTCCTCCTGGAGGCTGGTGGATTCCCCCAGGAAGCCGGCCACCATCTCCTGTGTCACCGGGAAATTCTCCGGGAGCGCCGTGCATTTCTGGATCAGAACAGGGTTGAACCCATTCAGATACTGGTACCCGAAGAAAGCATCTTCTTGCCAGTGCTCAAAGACATACTCTGGGGATACACACACCGGCCCTTTAAATAAAACCCCATTGCCTGGGGAGAGGAGTGGGGTCTGATGGTTAGAGCAGGGGAGCGGGGCTGCAAGCCAAGACTCCTGGGTTCTCTCCCCAGGTCTGGGAGGGGAGTGGGGGCTGGTGGTTAGAGTAAGGGACTGGGAGCCAGGCTTAGAGGAGAAGAAAGTGATCAGGAACAGTCAGCATGGATTCACCAAGGGCAAGTCATGCCTGACTAACCTAACTGCCTTCTATGATGGGATCTGTGGATGAGGGGAAAGCAGTGGACGTGTTATTCCTTGACTTTAGCAAAGCTTTATGATACGGTCTCCCACAGTATTCTTGCCGGCAAGTTAAAGAAGTATGGGCTGGATGAATGGACTGTAAGGTGGATAGAAAGCTGGCTAGATCGTCGGGCTCAACGAGTAGTGATCAACGGCTCCATGTCTAGTTGGCAGCCAGTTTTCAAGCGAAGTGCCGCAAGGGTCAGTCCTGGGGCCGGTTTTGTTCAATATCTTCATTAATGATCTGGAGGATGGCGTGGACTGCACCCTCAGCAAGTTTGCAGATGACACTAAACTGGGAGGAGTGGTAGATACACTGGAGGGTAGGGATAGGATACAGAGGGACCTAGACAAATTAGAGGATTGGGCCAAAAGAAATCTGATGAGGTTCAACAAGGACAAGTGCAGAGTCCTGCACTTAGGACGGAAGAATCCCATGCACTGCTACAGACGAGGGACCGGATGGCTAGGCAGCAGTTCTGCAGAAAAGGACCTAGGGGTTATAGTGGACGAGAAGCTGGATATGAGTCGACAGTGTGCCCTTGTTGCCAAGAAGGCTAACGGCATTTTAGACTGTATAAGTAGGGGCATTGCCAGCAGATCGAGGGACGTGATCATTCTCCTCTATTCGACATTGGTGAGGCCTCATCTGGAGTACTGTGTCCAGTTTTGGGCCCTCCCGCCCCACTACAAGAAAGTTGTGGAAAAATTGGAGAGAGTCCAGCGGAGGGCAACAAAAATGATTAGGGGGCTGGAGCACATGACTTATGAGGAGAGGCTGAGGGAACTGGGATTATTTAGTCTGCAGAAGAGAAGAATGAGGGGGGATTTGATAGCTGCTTTCAACTACCTGAAGGAGGTTCCAAAGAGGATGGATCTAGACTGTTCTCAGTGGTGGCAGATGACAGAACAAGGAGCAATGGTCTCAAGTTGCAGTGGGGGAGGTCTAGGTGGGATATTAGGAAACACTATTTCACTAGGAGGGTGGTGAAGCACTGGAATGGATTCCCTAGGGAGGTGGTGGAATCTCCATCCTTAGACAAAGCCCTGGCTGGGATGATTTAGTTGCGGTTGGTCCTGCTTTGAGCAGGGGGTTGGACTAATTACCTCCTGAGGTCTCTTCCAACCCGGATATTCTATGATTCTATGATTTCCCTGCATCTAGGGGGAGAGTGGGGTCTCGTGGTTAGAGCAGGGTAACCAGGACTCCTGCTCCTTGTGGTTAGAGCAGGGGGTGCAGCTAGGAGCCAGGACTCCTGGGCTGTATCTCCAGTTCTGGGAGAGAAATGGGGGCTAGTGGTTAGAGCAGGGGGGGCTGGGAGCCAGGACTCCTAGGTTCTCTCCCCAGCTCATGGAGCGGAGTGGGGTCTAATGGTTAGAGCAGGGGACTGGGAGTCCTGAGGGGAGGCCTGGTGGGGGGCTGAGGGTGGCAGGACTAGTTGACCTGGGGGGGCCGTGTGTGGGCTCAGCACCCACAGGCAATGCAGGGAAGGCAAAGGGGGTCCCGGAGCCAGGGTGTAGCCCTGTGCTGGCGTTGGCCCCCTGCTCCTCCCCACAGTGCATGGGGCAGCACGGACCTGAGACCGGGTTGCGGTAGAACCAGAAAACCTTGAGGATGTCAGCTAACTTCTCCCAGGAGTATGGCCGGTCCAGGAACCCCTTAATCTTGCACTCCAGCAGCCTGCGGGGACAGGTAGCCAGGCTCAGAGACTGGGACCCTCACACTGTGTGCGCCCTCTGCCTCGATCCATATGCACCCGTCTGTCCCCCTTCACACCCCTGTCTCTATCCATCCCCATACACACCCTCTGCCTGTGCCCCTCACACCCCTCTGACCCCATAGACATCCTTCAGTCTGTGCCCCCTCACACCCATACACACCCATCTGTCTGTCCCCCAACACCCCTCTGACCCCATAGACACCCCTCCGACCCCATAGACACCCCTCCATCGGTCCCCCCTTCACACCCCTCTGACCCCACTCACATCCTCTGTCTGTTCCCTTTTCACACCCCTCTGACCCCAAACACACCCTCTGTCTGTCCTCATCATACCCCACTGACCCAATATACACTGTCTTCCTCACACCCCTCTGAGCCAATACACACCCTCTCTCTGTCCCCCTTTCACACCCATCTAACGCAATACACACCATCTGTCTGTCCCTCCTCCACATCCCTCTGACCCCATACACACCCCTCTGTCTGTCCCCGTCACATCCCTCTGACCCCATACACACCCTCTGTCTTTCTCCCTTACACTCATCTGACCCCATACACACCCTCTGTCTGTCCACCCCTTCACACCCCTTTGACCCATACACAACCTCTGTCTGTCCCCCTTCACACCTCTCTGACCTCATACGCACCCTCTGTCTGTTCACCTTCTTCACACTTCTTTGACCCCATACACACAATCTATCTGTCCACCCCCTCACACCCCTCAGACCCATACACGCCCATCTGTCTGTCCCCCATTCAAACCCCTCTGACCCCACTCACATCCTCTGTCTGTGTCCCCTCTTCACACCCCTTTAACTCCATGCACACCCTCTGTCTTTCTGCCTCACACCCCTCTGACCCCATTCACATCCTCTGTCTGTTCCCTCTTTACACCCCGACCCAATACACACCCTCTGTCTGTCCCCTTCACACCCCTCTGACCCCATACACATCCTCTGTCTGTCTCCTCTTCACACCCCTTTAACTCCATACACACCCTCTGTCTGTCCCCTTCACACTCCTCTGACCCCATACACATCCTCTGTCTGTCTCCTTCACACCCCTCTGACCCAATACACACCCTCTCTGTTCCCCTTTCACACCCCTCTAATGCAACACACACCCTCTGTCTGTCCCCCCTCCACACCCCTCTGACCCCATACACACCCTCTGTTTCTCCACCCCTTCACACCCCTCTGACCCCATACACACCCCTATGTCTGTCTCCCCTTCACACCCCTTGACCCCATACACACCCTCTGTCTGTCCACCCCCCTCACACCCCTCTGCCTGCCTCTTCCCATGTACACCCTCTGTCCATCCATAAACACCTATCTGTCTGGCCCTATGTGACCCCTTTGTCTGTCCCCATAAACCCCACTCTCTGTGTCTGACCTCATGTATACCCTCTGTCTGTCTCTCCCCATACCTGCCCCTCTGTCTGTCGGTCCCATACACATCTCTCTGTCTGGCCCCATACACACCCCTCTATCTATCCATCTCCTCCTGTGCCCCTCTGTTTGTCTGTGCCTCCGTCACACCCTATGTCTCTCCCCATACACACCCCGTGTCTCTCCAGCCCCACACACCCCACTTATCTGTCTCTCTAGCTCTGGGTCCAGCCCTTTTGCCAACCTGGTCCCCAGCACTGGATGTGGGGGCCAGTACCCAATCGCCAATGCCACAGATGGCGCAAATCCCTCCCCGGTTTCACATCCCTTAGCCCCAGCACCGCCAGGACCTCCCGTTGGGTGACCTCTAGTTCTCGACTTTCCGGGGCACCGGCCCCCCTTCTGCAGGGCTGCCCCGCCTCCCCTGCCCCGAGACATTAAAAGGCATTTTGTCGGCATGGGCCCAGCCGGCCGGGATCCAGCCGGCGCTGTAGGGCTGTCCTTTCTCCGGCGCTGCTTACTGCCCCGCCAGTCCCTGCCTCAACCTCCCTCGGAGCAGCAGCAATTTATATTGACTACTCCGATCTCTGAGGACAATGCTGAGTGCAACTGATCCCTGCAGAACCTACATAGATAGATAGATAGATGGGGTGGATGGGGTGGATGGGGCGGGGGGGTGGGATGGGGAGAGAGAGAGAGTCAGGTTGGAGGGTGGGGCTAATGAAATAATTACTGGAACTCCTAACGACAGACACAAAAGGTCAGCTCCTGAAGGAGATATAGGCGCCTAACTCCCCTTTATTCCAATGGGATTTAGGCACCTCAATCCCTCCGGGAAGCTGGGCGACCACTCTGGGAAGTGGATTTTCAGCCCCGCCACTTACGCCGCTGAGCCACGCCCGAAGAAAGCAGAGGCCTTGGGGTACGAATACTGGAGGTCGACCTCAGCAGTCATGGCACTGTCAATGTCGGCACACCAGGGGGCGCCAGGGCTGTACTCCTTCCACCTGTCCCAGGGAAGAGGGCGGTTAATAACAAGCCTTTCCGGCTTCGGTCGTCAGCCGATCTCAAAGCGCATTAGCAAAGAGTACGCCGTCATTATCCCCATTGTATAGGTGGGGAAACTGAGGCACAGAACAGGGGAAGCAAGCCGTGGCAGAACCCAGATATCCTGGCTCCCCACTCCAGGGCTTTATCCACTAGGCCGCACCACACCTGGGCCTTAACTAAGACGGCAGGGACTGAGCGCTCCATTGGCTCCAGGAGCAGGCAGGGGTGGGTTAAGCCCTCAGCCCTACTGGCTCATGCCTCATACCCGTCCCGCCACCTGGATTTATTCGATTGCAACAGAAGCTCAGCCTGAGGGTTTTCTAAAAAAAGGTTCATTAGTTTCTAGCTCTTGGGGATGCCCAGAAAGGCTTTAAAACATGACCCAGCTGTAACCGACATGGCGACACTGCCTAAGTTTGCAGGGAGCCTGAACCCATTACTCCAAAATGCCCCCCTCAACTCACCTATATCTTTCCTGTTGCAGCACCAGCTCCTCACGACGGTGCTTCTGGAGCAGGTAGTGGGAGTTGTCACAAGGGGTTTGGGCTGGAGAGAGAAGAGAGAGACTGAAATCTGACCACACCCTGGAGTGAGGGATGTGTCCCAGACCCCTCTAAGCCTGCAGGGCTCCTTGGTGCCAGTCTTCTAGCTACCTGTCTAACCGCATACACCTACCTTCTCTCTCTCTCTCTCTCTCTCTCCCATACACCCGCCTTCTCTCTCTCTCTCTCTCTCTCTCTCC